GTGCGTGCGCGTGTGTGTGTGTGTGTGCGCGCGCGCGTGTGTGTGTGTGCGTGTGTGTGCGTGTGCGTGCGTGTGCGCGCACACAGGCATTTTTTTTTTGCAATTCAGCTTCATCCTCAACGAACAGCCATCCTTTTTTTTTCTTTTGGTTAATACAGTGTCCTGCTCTTTACTTACTTGTGTGTTTTATTTTAATTGGAACAACCTTTTAGCCTCCGTGTTTGCAGAGGAGTTGCACGGGAGGAGCACAGTACCACCTTTTGACTGACTTGGTGAACTGCACTCCCGTGAGAGTGAAGGGCCGGCTTTCCATCGTGTTGCGTCATAAAACTGAGTTTTCAATCTCTTGTCTCTACAGAGTCGCGTTATTGGACTGGCTGGCCACCCATCAAGTGTGAAATTTGACATGAGTTTGAATGTGATTGGCTGATTCTGAACGCAGTCTCGTGTCTGTTTATAAGAGGGTGTGCACACTTGTGCAATCACATAATCTCAGTTGATTTTCCAAGGTCACAGCGGTGGAAAAAAGTTAGGAAATAATGCACGTCGATTTCATTTCGAAAACATGTCATTTTAATAGGGGTGTGGAGACTTTTTATATCCACTACGCATGTACAGTGCTGCAAAAAAATGTATTAGCCCTTTCCTCAATTTTTTTTTATTTTGTTTCCCCACTTTAATGTTTAAGATCATCAAACGAAGAAGCCCCATCATGTCAACGCCAGAATGCAAGCAGGGCTGCAGCTTTGTGCGATACACAGATAAGCGTTAGCCTCTGATAAATGCCTCTTAAACGACGGTATCTAATGTTTCCAAAAAAGAAAACATGAACTTTACATTTGTATTAAGATACAAAAAAAAAAACACTTGGGAGAATATTTCAATTCAAGAAAAAAAATCATAATAATCACCCTACCCTTTAAATGTCACATTCCAAGTGGATCTCAAGGGCAAGGAAGCTGCTCCGATGATGTATTCTGTTCACATAGCAGATGAGGATTTCACACCTCTAAGCTGAAGATGGTGGAGGGGGGTGGGGGGCACGGGGGATCAATGTCCAACTCAATTCTCTTTGCATCTTCCAATATGGTGCATTCAGACAGCCGACGATACAAAAGAGGCTTTTTAGCAGCCGAGCGGAAACACTCGACTTTGCTCAGCTCGACGGCATCTTTAAATGCTTCGGAATCACGTTAAAGGAGAAGGCCGACACCTTTTCTCCCTGCATTGCCCTTTTGCAGAACAGCCTTGGAACTGCTGATGCTCTTTGTTGAGGGATTATATTTGTCTCAAATGTGCGTTGAGTGCCAGAGCTGGCCTGTGCTTACTTTGGGCTCCGAAGCAAAATTTTAGTTTGGGGCCTTTATTTCTGCTGATAATATTCATAGATTATATGTTTTTTTTTTCCTCGTTGGGGGATAATCATGAGGACAAAATGTTTTTAAGAATTACACTGAAAGAGCAGACTGAGTTTCGAAACAAACATTCCAAGAAGTGAAGTAATACGTGGGGTCCTGGATGCCATCTGGGCCACTTTCAAGAATCAAACCCACTAAAAAAAAAACAATAACCTGTGTAGTACGCATTTATTGATGAAAGTGTCATACAGTTTATTTTTAGTTCTAAAAAACTGCAACGATTTTACTTCTCCCCTTGAAAGGTTTTTTTTTTTATTGTATAGGTAGGAGTAATTAAAAGGTGTTTTTGTGATCTTTAGCATAAAAAAACTGAAAAGATTTAATCATGAAACCAGCCTAAGAAACTCAATATGTATTAATGTGCTAATAAAACAGCACCATTGCACACAAAACTATTAAACACATCGAGTGCATACGGCACATTAACAAGGATAAATTCAGGCACAAATTACCGAACTTACAAAGCTAGTATCGGCTACTTTCGCATATTATGCTAACATTACCACACAGGTTAAGTTCGATGAGTGCTTTACTTCACCAGAATTACACTGAAACCGACATGAAATGGCAGTCTTGGCGATGCACACGTTCAAGAAGCATATACAACCTCACTGGTACGCTTGCGGGTTTTGAAAGTAGACAAACTTCATCATCTGCTCAATGCAACTTTTTAATAACAACCCCTCTCTTTTCCTGCTTGCCCCGCCTTGACCTCGTCTGCCATGAAGAGCCCAAGAAATCTGAGCCTTAAAATTGCTTGCTTTCAAAATATAACTGAATGAGAGTCTTTTATACAAGATGCATTCTGCAGTTGTGCGGGCAGGCGGTGTGTGTGTGTGTGTGTGTGTGTGTGTGTGTGTGTGTGTGTGTGTGTGTGTGTGTGTGTCTGTGTGTG